AGATTTAAAAAATTTAATGATAAACTTCATTCGATTTATCTATCTATCCCGTATAAATACATCTGATTCATCTTATTCATCTTGAATACAATGAACGAATGAATCAGTTAAAAACGTGCCTAAATTTCTTTAATTTTCTAAATTTTGATTTAACATTTTCACTGCGGATTTAAAAAATTTAATGATAAATTTCGATTTATCTATCTATCCCGTATAAATACATCTGATTCAACTTCTTCATCTTGAATACAATGAACGAATGAATCAGTTAAAAACGTGCCTAAATTTCTTTAATTTTCTAAATTTTGATTTAACATTTTCACTGCGGATTTAAAAAATTTAATGATAAATTTCGATTTATCTATCTATCCCGTATAAATACATCTGATTCAACTTATTCATCTTGAATACAATGAACGAATGAAATTTATTCATACGTAACGCGTTCGACAAAATGTTTAAAACATTCGAAAAATTTGAATTATATACATTCGAAAAATTTGAATTGTCCGTACACAGGTGCGAACAAAAGAGACACGGGAGTGACGAGTCCTCTGGATCTGTCGAGTCCAGGTGGATTCGCACCGCGGAAAAGGCAGAGGGCGGAAACGAGGAGATCGGGAAGCGTGTCTCCGAAACCGAAGCCAACCCCTCGACCCACCACACCACCTCCAGTCAGATGTCCATCCCTGTGTGGCCACATGCCGTGTGGCGATGGGCAAGCTGTCAATCGATGGACCATCGAGGACGTCGTCAATTACGTGTCGTCGATCGATATTTGCGCAGAGTATGCACAGGTGAGTGGCTCGAATGCGTCGATTTTCTTCCATTCGTTTTTCGATTCGAATTTTTCCATTTTACGTGTTGCTATAAGTTGGGCGTAAATTTCGCAAATGGCAATTGCAACATCGTGGCAAATAAACTCGATAATGTTTGCCAGATTTCATAAGAAACGCTACGGGCGCTAGGAAACTTTGTACCGCGATGACGAGAGAGGTTAACCAATCTGGGTCTAAGGTTTTTTAATAAAATATTGGTTGGTTCAGGTTATCACTTTTTTTCTTCCCAATTTCTCGATAGGATTTATTACGCTCGGAAAGAAAATTAAGGTTAAAATTTTCTTCGCTTCGAGTAGTTAAAAAATAAACTGCTCGGTCAAGAGGTTATCTACAATTATCTACGATACATCTAATTTCAGTTTTATTGTACATAATATCATAAAAAGAAAAAAAATCAGAACTGAATTTGCACTATTCTATCAAATCTCGCGGAATTACGCTACGTTTCAAAACTCCTCGCCTCCCATTACGACTTCCTCAATCCTAACCTCACTCACCGTGATCATAATTAAAAGCCAGGTTCACCAAAGGCTACGCTTTTAATTGCTTCCCTGTCGCTCCGATTTCACCGAGAAATTTCTCTTCTTACCCACGACTATCCATGAATATATCAAGGAAACTCGAACTAAAACCCATCAAACGTTTCACGACAGAGAGAGAGAGAGAGATAGAGAGAGAGAGAGAGAGAGAGAGAGAGAGAGAGAGAGAGAGAGA